AAAGTTAATATACTATCCTAAAAACAAATGGAAGTTTGTGTTTTAAGGAGAGTTTATAGACCAAGACCATAATATATGTATATACAGGCTATTTTATGGGACATATAACCTCCTTTGGATGCAACACAGGCAGCTATCCATCTCCAAATGGACCGGATAAGAGTCAGGAAATTGTTGCTGAGGAATTGCTCTCTATTCCTGCATGAATGTGGCCTGGAGCTGTGAACTGGTTACTGGCTCTGATGAACACAATGACCCAAGCAAGCAAGTTCAATAGGAGGCAAGCTGGCAAATGAAGTGTCTGGGTTTTCTTCTGTTCCAGAAAGGCTTGTTCTACTCTGACAGTGTCAGGCCGTATGTCAAGCAGACACTGTCCTGCTGAAAAAGCCGCAGGGCGCTGCTGCAGGAGTAATACAAGTTCAGGTTAGAGCACCTCAACTCGGTACCTCAGTCTGGTCAGAATTTCACCAAGAACAATACGATCAGATGCTCTCATGGACACGCAAAGCTGCAGCAACAGGATCCAGAATGCCAAAAGCCTGGCCCCAGTCAACGTCAGTCAGTCGTGGCATGGTGCCACTGATAACAATGCTGTGCATACACGGTTTTATTGTGCCCTGATTCCACTGGCAAGAAAATACAGCAAACTGAACCAGTTCTCGGTTGTACAAGTGAGTTCATTTGTGTTAAACCAATTAACAAATCACCAATCTCGCCATTGACTAAAACCAAACAACTGGAACTAAAAACTACTTCACAATATAAAACTTGCATTTCTTTTTTTGAGTACCATATTAAGTTTTATCACAGTGGTTCTCAAATGGCGAGCTGAGGCACACTGGGATGCCTTGAGATTTTGCATAAACCACACACTGCAGATGTACCAAAAGTAATGAATGAGATTTAAATTCACTATTTTAGTGCTAAAGGATCTATTTCAAAGTGAGGAGATAAAACGGATCACTTTCCTGTGTAGAAAAAATTAACACCTATAGATTGTAGGTGAAATTTAGGCCCCAGTGCTGCAAACATGCCCTGAAAAGTGCCTAATAAAAGAACTGATTATTTTTCCGATCGCATGTAGGCTATTTTTGGCATATATGAATACACTTACATTTCATACTGAAAATTCCTTCCTGTATTTCCTTACTCACACTTCTCAAATTCTTCCCAAAGGTCCAGTTGAATGTTACTCAAAAGCTTTCCAATTTTTGCCCTCTTTTTTTTGCCGCTTGGTAAGGCATCATTGTTCTGCCCTACCTTAAGTATCATGTCCCTCAGTGCTTGGACATCCCGTAGACGCCATTCTGGCTTCTCTTGGAGCTCCTCACGTGCCTTGGCCACCAGTTCAGGGGTCAGGGTACAGGAATAGATGGGTGGTGGAGGACTGGGGAACCAGCTGTGCACTGCAGCTGCTGACGAGTCCACTGTAGGACCACCGAGATCGATGGACTCATGCTGATCGGCCATGGAATGACTGGGTGAAGCTGTTGGGAAATAAGCACGGGTGAGGAGAATTAACTTTTAAATACCATAGCTTTACTTCAAATAAGAACAGCGATACCCCACGGCCTGACACCTTCATTATCAATAATTAAACGTCATTATCATATTTTGTACCAGTAAGCTGCCTCTGCACAGTAAATGTACAGCAGCACAAAATAAAAACTGTTAAGTGCCTGAACATTACAGTAAGTGTCAGGTACACTCACAAACTGCGCAGTTTTAGTAAGTAGCTCAATTTCAGCTAAGTTTAGCAATAGATGTGGGAACACGATGTTCCCAGATACACAAGAGCGGGATGCTCTCCAGTAACTACCCAAGACTGCAAACACTGCATGCATTCACTCAGCAATGAGTCACAGCGCCAGAGATTCTCAGCTAATACAGCCTGAGCCTAAACAGAGCATATGTCCGGATAATGACTGAATACTGACCAGAAAATGGGTCTAACGGTAGCCTTCAATGGCAGACATAGAGTGCTAAAAGGCTGCTGGTAAGTGATATATAAATTCAGAAAACATCCGCAAAGATCAAAGCAACAAAAACCACTGTCAAAAAAAAATCACAACGGACCTGTCAGGAAAATCCCTCTTCCGGGTACAGAGCCGGCGTTAGCTCATTGGTGCTTTTGTAACACGTGATGCACTGCGCCGATGAATCGTGCGTCTTTTGTTTTGATGCCGATGCTGCGTTCAAGTTTAATCGGAAATTAGGCAAACCTATATGTCAAAAAATTAATAGCGTGACTGTTATGTGAGCCTGTTGTGTTTCAAATTCAAATGCGATCTTGAAATATCCAGCTCTTTTTCTTTTAACAAATTACAAACTAATCCGTTTCAAGATTTACTAACATAAACACGCACCTGGGTACCTGAACCTCACATCTCTAAATCCAACAGTAACAGAAACGCACACTTTTCAAACACTGTTGTTTGATTCAAGCACCAGGCAGGTAATTTTATAGCTCTGGGGTTTTATAGCTGTAGGCTAACGTAATGATCTCATACTTGTACGCAGGTTATACCATCCTTGTATTGCATTTCAAAGCAGTAGATGGCAGAATTTACCTTCATGTTTCCGCGGCTGCTTCCTTGGCACTGTAGGCTTCATGTCGTCTCGGAGGCTATGTAGGTAGACAATTTTTTTTAATACAAATTTTATATTTGGGATTCGTTTCACTACAGGATTGGTCGTACAACAAGGGGTTGGTGTTTTGTTCTTTAAAAAATGCAAGCAATTGACTAAATGTCTAATTAAAGGGGACGAAAAAGAAAGAAAATATGGATATGAGCTTTAGGCTAATGTCCAGTACTTGTGTCAAACCAATTTAACGATGATGTATTGTGATGTACATCCAGGATATGTTAGGTATTGTGCTAAAGAGAGAACCAAGAACAAGACGGGGGGTCCATGTAGGCCGAGAATAACTGATTAAAAATAAATATGTTGTAGGAAAGTGGTGTATAAAAGATGATTTTCATGGTGACAAGGCAAGAGAAATGGTTTGTGGACACCACATGTAAAACCATTTCATTTGTGAATGTTGGCTTTTTGTTGCCTGTCCAGTGCACTTGTCATCACTTTCATTTGCACAAATCCAAGTAAAATAGTTTACACAATAGTTAGGCAACAGTTAACAACAGTTCAGCCTTCCTAACCAGACAAACGCCTGCAGTTTAAGTGTAACTAAAACTTACAATTAAAGGGTCTTGAGAACAAAGTACAATATATGCATTGTGATAGAGTGGATGTGGAAAGCATCAAAACATTAAACATAAAACAGCAAACATTAGACTTCAGTAAAGCGCAAGCACCTTAAAGCTGCACTTAAGATGTTGCAGATATGTGACTGCTAACTATGTGACATTAGCTTTTCTTTCATTTTGGACACTTTGGAATGGTGACAGTGTACAGTCAATTGAATGATGCCCCAGTCAGACAAGCTTAGAGACCAGCCGGTGACCATCTGGCAATCACTGTTCATGAGAGGAAAATCAGTGTTCCCCAACCAGTTGCAAGAGGTCACCAGCAGTTGCTGGGAAAATATTTGCTAAAGCCCCTAAAGGCCTAGAGACCAACCAGTGACTCTCATATTTCCCCAGCATCACACCTGTTGCTAGGGAAAAATGTGTATTCCCTAGCTGGTTGGAAAAACCTCTTTCTGATTACTTTGCTTGCTAGCATATTGCTGTGGTCCCCCATAGTTTTCATGGGAGTGACAGAGTTGTCTACAAATATTGCCCAGTTGCTCTTAGAGCTGTGGTGAAACTGTGGCAAGTGCAGTATAAACTGGAAACCAGGACCATTCACCTTCAGAGTTAAAAGCTGCACCTTTTAAAACATGTTGACTACATCGCTGATGAACAACTTTTAATTGGAAGGCAAAAGTCTCAATTTCTAGTTTGCATCACACCCTTTTCACAAGTTGTACTACAAGTTTTTGCATAGTTAGCAAAAATTGTGGGAATCTGCTTGCAACCAAAGCAATCAATATGTTTTTGTTGCAGGATCTTGTTTGCAACAGATTTCACCCAGCAAGAGCCAAAAATCTCCAGAAAGTACAATTTTGTTTCCTAGAAATCTCAATAGTTATGTCTCACCAATGGTCCTGTTGATGCTCTCATTATGGGCAGTAATATTAAAAGTAATCCTCCTCTAGATACTTCTATTTTTGTACTTGTTTTGAATGTAATGCTTTGTTTCCATTGCAAAAAGTAAAATGAGCTTAACAATAGCACACACGGCATTCATTGTTTTCTAGATGCAGTGAACAAATATATCTGCATCTCTCTATCTGGAGTCAACGCTATCGGTAATGATTTTATGGCAGCTTATCAGCCTGAAGTTGCAGTAGTCTATCAGGGACCAAAAAGCACTGCCACGTTGGACCTAATTTTTTTTTTTCCACCATTTACCTTTGAAAGAATGTGTAATGCAAATGCAGTGAATTCCTTGGTGGCCACTTCTCTTGTGACCGTAGTATAAATACGTAGCAGAAAAAGCAATGTAAAAATAAACCGTAAGATTTATTAACTCAACTTCACATTGTAAGGCAAAACATTACCTGGTTTTGTAAGGCAGTACAGGTTAAAAGGCACAATTTATTCCATCAGTTAAACCATGACAAAGTACTAAACTAAACAAAACAAACAAAAAAAACCAAACAAACAAACAACATACAATATACTTTTAAAACCGAGCACAACATATTATTGGGAAACTTCTTTAGCATGTCTGCCTGTGACTTTTTAAAAGTCTCTGTGTATACAGCCTGCCAAACTTGGTTATACTGGAGTAAATTTTAAAACTTGAAATTTCACTCCTGTAAATATGCATATCCCAGTGTATAAAACAAACCCCATATATTTTAGTTTTGCCACAAACTATTTGAGAGCAACTCGAAGGAAAAGCTGAACTCTTTAGAGGAATTCTATTTAGCTTTTTTTCTGAGTTCATTTTATTGTTAAGAAACATAAAATAAAAAAATAAAAAGTTAAACACTAAATATATGACAGTGTAAGGCCTGTTGTAACATTCATGAAATACTGACATGATTACTTTGCCATTTCTAACATAAGCCTTACTGCACACACTGAGGACATGCATAGGACACAATGGAATTGAAGTTACCCAATAATGAGCTATAATATATACAGCAGTGTACTTCTAAGTGTCAGTCTTACAGAAAGGCAGTAAGCCTAGAAGATCACAATGCTTATGGTTTTATCTGGCCTTCACTGAACCATGAAGCTCAGCTGCAGCTGCATACATGTACAAAGTGATGCCTGAAAACTCAGGCTATCAATCTGTAAAGACCACACCTGCAGATTTTTATTATAGATATATATACAGTATTCAGCTACTTTAGGGTTCCAGTCAAGTTAACAGCTTCAATGCTGATTGTGTATAAACATACATGTAAAGACCCTGGTTTAATTAGAAAAAAAACTGAAGGAATAAAGATTTAAGGGGTTGTTAAATGGCCTCCTGTTTTGTAATAGTTGGTTGAGGGATGGAGGTTGGCTGCTTGGGAACAGTGGCTATGACCCCCTGAACCATTTTATAATGTTCTGAGCTGGAGGCAGCGGGTGGAGATGGAATTGGGGTTTCAGGAGTGGCTGAAAAGTAGAACAGAGAGAGAGCAGTTACTAATGTAGAGAAACTACAGCACAAGCAGGTGAATATTTATTATCTTACAGTGTGACGCGGGGGTAACACAAGATTCCAATAAGGAATAAGCACTTTTGTGAAATTTGTCAGAGCATTAAATATGCTCAGAAAGAATAACAGAAGTTTTCTTTTACAAAATAAGCCAGATTAGTTTCTGTGAACCACTTAGGGGATTATTTTGCCAAGCTTATTTGGTCTTCCAGCTACCTGACTTGGCTGCACATGGAGCTGCGTGAGGAAAATTTGTTGGGCTCTCTTCATTAAAATACAACTGATTAATAATTGTGATCACCTTCATTAGACTTGAAGTTTTTACCATATGTAGCAATAAAAAACCCCGACAGTTTTAAGCTAATAACAGACACCAAATCTTAAATGTAGCAATGCATTAATGTATTTTGTGCTTACAGATTTGACCATTATGGATTGGCGTTGGCATATTGCTGGTCACTATAACATTGGTGCTGAGGTGCTCCTGAACCAGGTGAGGATGCAGAGAGTGAGGTGCATGTGGTGCTTCATTAGCAGAACCTGGAAGAAAAACCCCAACAATTTTCAGTTAATCATAATTTATTACTGAATAGTGGTTTGATGCAGTTCTGTCCACTTAATGCAATGCCTACAGTTTCAGAATTCATGCTATAGTAAATTTTGCTAAACCTATCTGTACTGACAACCATTTCTCACCTCCAAGAAGCATTTCTTGAAGCAGATTGTCAATCTTGGCCATGCCGAAGAGTTTCACAAACTGGATCTGTTCAATCATTTGCCAAGTGATGCTCTGTAGTGTCGGCAGGAGCAGGAGAAGCTCTCCAAAACGGCCTCGAGAGTCATATTGCCTGTCATTGATGTAGTCCTCCAGGCTCACCTGGACCTGGTATCGCATCCGCTTGATCTTTCCAGGGTCACTCAGACCTTTAGCGTCTATGGGCAAATGTTAGCAAAGAGAAATGTTTTGATGACCAACATCTGTATATAATGTGGTCTGAGTTTTTCAAGTTTTCACTCAAGTTAATGGCTTGGAAAGAAGCTCAAGAATCTGAAATGTTTGTCAGCACTAATACCTGGGTCAAAGAAAACTATGGCTTTTAAGCAGGCATATTCATTGTCATCTATCTGAAGCTCTTGGAAAGGAAGCACCAGCTCATCCAGGATTCTCACTGCTACTCTGCCCACCTCCAACTCTGGGCAGTTTCTGGGAATGATGTGGTCATTTCCTGCAGGAGAAACACATTGAAAACGCACCATTGGAATAGGGAAAGAGCATGATTATATGCAATATGAGTGCAGTATCACACTGCCTTGTGTGTCAGTTTTACCTAATAAGAGGATGTCTTTGTAAAGCATGGACCTCTTTGCAGCACCGAGAAGGAGATGTTCTCCTGCATGAGCTCGAAGCAATGCCACCTGCAATGAAAGTGAATTAAAAGACAGTTTGCTATGAAATAATAACTCCTTTATGTGATACGTGTTTATATTATAAAGTTCTGTCTGGGTTTTTTTAAACTCCCCTTGCATGAATCTCACTGGTTGAACTAAAATTGGCAAAGAAGGCCATCTCACTGCATCAGCAAATCAGTTACTAAGGCTCGGTGATCACACTGTTAATGATTCTGCAGTTTTTTTTTTTTTCAAGAAGCAGTGTGACATTAAAACCAGCTCATCATGTTCCAACTGAGGATTAAAACACATTAACCATTCTGGTTGAAAATTTTAAGAGAGAGTGATGAAAAACCCCGTCATCCTTAGAGACTGGAAAACTATTTTCTCCTCTTTTCTTTTTTTTTTTACTGCAGTGTTATTTGATTAAGGAAGAACATAGTCAGTGACAGTCCCACAGCCACGTGTCCCTCAACCCTCGTTATGGTTTTGAGTATACTGGTTGATGAATGACTAGAGTGTCTATATCACTGTGTGCACTCTGTCTGTGTATGGGTCTCACCTGGTCATCCAAGGGCAGGTCACAGAAGGCTGGGATGTACTTGGCCCACTCCACTAAGACCAACAGCTGCTGTTTCATGGACTCACACACATCTGTGATGGTGGCGATCTTTTTAGTCCGTATGTCACCATTGAGTATAGGAGCAGGGGATGTGATCTACACAGGAAAATGCATTTATGAAGTCATTTGAGGTCTTGTTACAGTTACAGTAGATATGAGCCCCAAACATGATGTACGGCCACCTTACCTGTCTTGACAGTACGTCTGCCTGGATGAGTGCGTTGATGGATGGTAAACTGCTGTCTTCATAGCTGGATCTCCTGGTGCTGATTCTGTCTCGTTCGTTCTGTACAGCTAAAAAAAAAGAACATTCACAGATTTATAATGTGGCAGCAAGATGTAGGTTGCATTTGCAAAGCAAAAGATAAAAGTGGAACTTTCATGCAGTTATATTTTTGTAAATGCAAGAAAAGTGTTGAATTTTCTCATTTCCTTTGTTGCACAAACACGGAACACAGAGTGATTTGAAAGAAAAATATGTCTTCCAAGGTTGTCATGTTTATCAGTATATGGCTGTTATTGCTTGGAAATGTTTGCTCAGCATAAGCTGGTCAGAGACTTAAGCACTCCGTGGAGTGAACATTAACAAAGTAGTCCCCTCCTGGGTGTTGCAACACATTTAGACAAGTCATATCAATTTAGTGGAGACAGCTCAAGCTCTGGTAGTGATTTGCTGATTAAATTCTCTTTTGTTTTGGGAGGCAATAGATTCTAGTGTTTTAACACTAAAAAATTCACATAGATTGACTTTTTTGACTGGTTTAGTGAAGAGATAAAAGTCATCTACCTTCTTTCTTCATGCCAGCTCTGAAGCACTTCTTCAGTCGGCAATACCTGCATTGATTTCTCTTGTCTTTGTCCACAATGCATTGTCTGTTAAACCTGTAAAAGTGAGTGGATTAAGTTTGTTTGTGCTATCACGGATTTAAAAAGGAAACTTAATGAAGGAATCAATACAAAGTGAAGCAATTGGATACAAATTGAAATAGATGAAGTAAAAATTCCAGATGCTTTCTTTTTCAAGTAGCTTAAGCATGAAGAATATATACATATATATGTAATGATTGCATCCATCAACATTTAATCACAAGACTGTAATCAGAAGATTGCAATCTTTGCTTGTCTACACAGTGGCACATAACTGAGAATTAATTGCATTGGCTAGATGTCCATTGCTTTTTCATTGTCACACAAACAGTAGCAGTATTTTTTAGTTGAAGAGCTTCACTCACCTGCATGAATACATGTGGTTTTTCCGGACGCTGCGTCTGAAGAAGCCCTTGCAGCCATCACAGCTGGAGGCACCGTAGTGTTTACCTGTAGCTCTGTCTCCACATATGGCACACAAACTGCCTGCAGCCAGGTGGCTCGCGGCGTTCATGTTAGTGCTTTCAGCTGGTGAGGAGTCTGACATGAGAGAGAGAGAAAGGAAAAAAAGGCTCATCAGGCCAACAGGCTTTTAGGTGATTAGCTTTAAATCACCGGAACAAGATGACCTGAAACTCGAAGAAGCGTCTTTTTATTTTTTTTAATATGACTTTATTTCTAATCATATGCCAGACAGCAAACTTGAACTGCCAGGTTGGTTTAATTCTAGGCGTGAAAGACCGAAGTGAAGACACTCATCAGCTCCATTGACAGCTGATCAAAAGCAGCCCTCCAGAGAACTGCAGGGATCTGTTAGCAGCCTGAGTAGCTCAGATAGCGTCAACAGAGCTCAATTGATGTAGGTTTGATTACCTATGAAAGGCAATCGATGGAGACAGTTTTTGTGTAAGCCACTCTCACAGTCACCAGAACAAAGCTGATTATCATAGAGTTTGCCATGACACATGCTAAAGAAATGTACAATATATAAAAGTGGTAGGCTGGTTCTTGGAGAGTCACTTTTACATATTTGTTCAATGACAGAATATAATTGTGTAAATTATTTTAAAAAAAAAGTTTTGTGCTTGGATAGGTCCCCATTAGGCTTTCTTTTCTTTGCTTCTTTGGAAATTTTAGAATCAGGATCAGAGCCAGATGTCATGGGAGACTGCATATACAAATAGGTTGGTGTCACTGTAAGCGCATATCCAAAAACGACATCCATTCTCCTCAGTTTAGACTCTGTGGGAACAGACCGTTTGTAACAAGAGAAGGGTGATCATGATACTAAAGCTACTGCTTCATCACTGAATGAAGATCAATCCCCTGCAATCAGTCTGACACCACATCCCTGTACAAGCTGGAACAGGTTAAAATTGGTTGGGCCAAATGACCCAAGTGCACTGAGAATACATCAATCTCATAAAACAAAATCTCTTAATGTTTTATCACACCCAAGGTGATAAAAGAAGACCACTGAACAGGATCATCTCTCTACAAGCAGGAGCAGATGGACAAATGACCCCTTTTATCACTTCACGCCAGAACTCGCGCTCTCCTCTCCCGACCAAAGTTTTAAATCAGTAAAAGTTTCAAAGTTCAAAGGCAGCGCTGCTTATATGACACTCACCTGCACCCAAGGGGAGCACTTGCATGTTTTCGAACTCTAGCGTGGTATAGGCTGGGTCCAGAGCTTCGCTGTAGTCTGCCATGTCCATGTCTGCTAGTTCTTTAGGCCAACAAATTCTCAACTACTTGACAGTGGGACAGAAAGACTTGTCCAAGAAAGTAGAGTGCCCCCCTCCTTCTCCACCTTCCTTTCTCACACCCCCACACACCTCAGCAAACCCCCCTCCTTCTTTCTGGGTCTAGCTCCGCCCAGTGACAGGACAGCTCCTTGGCCCAGTTGAGTGGTATATGGACCTACTGGTGTTAGAGAGGTGAACAGTGACTGACAGCAGAGCTGGTGTCCTTCTCTTCCTTCCCTCATACCACTAACCAGAGAAGAGGTGGAGTGTCAGTCCGGTTGATGGTTAACCAGAGTGTTCACTGGTGAATCACAGGGTTGTTTTTTTTTAAGAGATAGCACAGCTTTGATATCTGCCATCGCTGCATGTCAGTAATGGATAAACATTTCCTCAACCTGAGCTATGTCAGTTCACTCCTACTACATCATTTGACACCATTTTGAACTTTTCATTTTATAGCTGACACTTTCCTTGCATGCCCATATCACATGCACACCAATTAAAGCTTGGATATTGGTACAAACGAAAGTGCCTGCAAAAAGACCTGGAATTAGGCGGAAAGTAACTAATTCCAATTTTTATGAAATTTTACAAATTTTGAAAGCACTTCTGTTTGATGCTACTTTACATTTCTGCTCCACTGTGGAAAAACATTACAACTTTTTTCTTGCCTTTTAGCTCAGCAGCCCCCCTTGTCTCCCCTCTGCAGGTCAGCTAAAACACTCAGAGGCTGCCTTTTGTTGCTTAAATATTCAGAAAGCTTGTTTGACCCCAGGTCCAAAGCTTCCAACCGATCCTCACAGATGCTCCTCTGCACAGATAGAATAAAAAATATCGAAACATTCCTCTGGTTTTGTTTTTGATATTTAATATTAACTGAGGCTTATTCAGGAATCACTCCATGACAACAGACATAGTTTGCACATCAATATATTACGGAAGTTATTAATTATTATTTTAAACAGAGGATAAATCATTATATCGCCTAACTGCTTATAAAGCAGTTTAACTTTAGAGCCAGCTTGATTGCCAGCTTGATTACCTTGACCTTGAATAATTGCACTGTACTTTAATGAGATAAAAAGTAGAGGAAAAATACTTTTACCACCACAAGATAACCACAATCAAATAAAATTAACCACTATATTAAAAACATACTTCCATGTGTATTACATTGCTCGGAAATCTGAGTTAATTCTGCCATAATTAGCGGGGAAAAGCACAAATGATGCCTTTATGTAAAAGCCGTCATTGTTTGCTATAATGCAAGGTTCACGTGAGGCTTTTTCAAAAGCTCCAAGCTTGTTGTAAAGGCGGCTGCTCCTCTGAGAGACAGCTTAGATGACTCAGAGGAGCCTAAAGAAGCCTTTTAGAAAAATAAAAAGAGTAATGGTGGGTCAATTAATCATTCTTTACAGAAATTTTACATTTAATGCCACAAAATATGCAATAAAATGCAGTGAAGTGACACCGGCTTGTTTTATAGTTTACAAGGTTACAGATTTATTAGTTGTGGGTAACATAAGTGGGTATAAAAAAAAGCATGAGCAGACAGAGTGAATCTTTTAGAAATGCACAAACATACGCAATTCTGAAACTGAGATTTTTAAAGGTAAACAGTGACCAGAGTTAATCAAACATCTGGCCCCCTCTGCCCCCGAGGATGGAAAATAGTTCAATCAAAACCTGAGTTACAGAGTAGAGAGGCCAGCTTGATGCCTAGATTAAAATCTTTCATCCAAGCCACCAACTTTTGCTCCTATCCAGTTGTCTCTTACAGGAAAAGACCTTATTCATGACAGCAATACAATGCCAAAGCACAGTCTGCACACATTACAGCAGCATGTCTCCCCAGTAAAAGAGTCCATGCTAAACTATCCAGTCAGCAGTCCACATATGTATTATGAAGCAAAAACTAACACAGAGGAACCTGTTAAGGAGTTCATTTAAAAAAGTAAAGCATTTAATCTCCTCAGTTGTTTTCTATTTACAGTTATTAAAAGAGGTGATGATAAGTAGCATTAATTATGCCTAGTGCAAGCTTTGTTTTTTTGTCAGGTTTCAACATTTGATATATGTTAGAGTTTGTATTGTTGAGTGGTACGGGAGAACGGACGAGAGCAACTGGGGTCAAGCGAAGGAACGGTGCCTGTCCGGTTCTCTCCCGTGCACGAGTAACATGAAGCTTGCCTACTTCGTGTCTTGCTTTGCAGTGTAATTATATTGCCTTCAACGTTCCAGCGGATGGGTTCAAACTACAAACCTATCATTATATTCATTTTGTTCAGTTTTTTAAGTTATAAGTTCAATCATTTGAAAATCATTGAATTTTTCTTTTTTTTACATTTTACAAAGTATCCTAAACAGAACTGCTGTTTACTAGATAATTTCTCTTTTTTGGTCCATAAAGATAGAAGAAGTATTACGAAGCCATTTCTAAGGCTCTGGGACTCCAGTGAACCATAGTGAGAACCTTTATCCACAAAGGGAAAAAACTTGGAACAGTGATGAACCTTCCCGAGAGTGGCCGGCCTATCAAGAAAAGCATCAACGACTCATCCAGGAGGTCACAAAAGAACCCAAAAACCTGCAGGATTCACTTCTCCATGTTAGGGTCGGGATTCATGATTCAACAATAAGACAACAATAAGAGACCAGGCAGAAATGGCATCAATGGGAGAGCTTCAAGCAGAAAACTGCTGCTGACCAAAAGGAACACAAAGGCTCGTCTCACATTTGGCAAAAAACATCTTGATGAACCACAAGACTTTTGGGAGAATCTGGACTGATCTGGAAAGTTTGAATCCTGTTACATCAGGCGTAAAACTAACACTTTCATAAAAGAACAT